CTCCTCAGGTCTCTGTTGCCCTCCCCCTTGTCCCTGGAGCTCTGCCTCTCTGACCCCACCCCTCACCTTGACCCTGTCAGGACCCTCCCAGGGCTGGGGTCTACACACACCTTACAGTATTTCTCCTACCCCCGCCCCCACACAATGGCCATGGATGTCCATGCATCTGCCCCTCCCCTCCCTTTCCAGGGCAGCCTGTCCCTCCCCCAGGGCTCTGCCCCTCGGGGTGCTGGATTCTGGAGGGATGGGGCCGAGGGGGGGGGGTCGAGGTGCAGGCTGGCATGTCCCAGCCCACCCTGCGGCTCAGACCCTCACAGAGCATCTGGCCAGACCCTCTCCGCGGTCCCTAAGCCTACACCCTGCCCCTCCGCGCATTCAGAACCCAGAACTCAGCGATCCAGAAACTTCCATGGGTGTGAACCTGCCCCGGGAGGCAGGGGTGAGCCAGGGGGCACTGTGCTGGGGCCACTAGGCCACCGGGCCGCAGGGCCTGGAATCAGGACCCCAGTTTCACGCCCAGTGCCCAGATCCCAGGTCCCATGAGGGAGAAAAGACGGCCCTTCTCTGCCTCCGTTTCTCCCTCTGGTGACTTGGGGGCGGCAGCCTCTGCCCCCTCCTGCTTGCTGAGCAGGCCAGGCAAGGGCACCCCAGGCCTCCCCTGCGGGGATGCTGGGCGCTCCGACACCCCTGGCCCCCACGCCATCATGTTTCCCTGGAGTAAATGGAGACGCTGGGCCCTTGAGAGCCCTGGGCAGCCAGCCCCCCATCAGCCCCAGGGGTTCTCATTCTCCCAAGACACTGCTCACCCTTTAGGAGCCTTCGGGGGGCTATATGGGGATGGGGGTGCCGGTGGGGCAGGGAGAGGAGACTGGTCCTGGCGTGGAGGGTACGCTTTTGGGGGTGCTCTGAGCCTGCTAGTGCCTGTGGGCCAAGCCCCCTTGCTGCCTGCAGATACCCCCACGCCTCGGGGCCCTGGTGGAGGGATGGGCCGGCTGGCCTGGCTCGCTGGCTCCTGAGCCAAACCTTCCCTCCTGGCTTTGGGTGGGGGGTAGGGTGGGGGCTGACGCCACGGCTCAGCCATGCGGCTGCCTGGCGGGAGGCTGCGCTGCTCCCTCCAGAGAGATAAGAGGAGACTCAAGAATGTCTGTGGGGAGCAGGGTGGTGTGGGCTGCCCGTGGGGAGGGCCCAGGGAGCCGGGCTGGAGTGCTCCCAGAGGCTGAGACGGGGAAGGTGGGGTGGGCGCTGAGG